CATTCTAAGTTTGTCCTGAATAAAAGGACAGTTGTTATTGTTTTCTATATCGGGTTCTCACTCTTCTTTCCTGGCTACCTTACCAACACCTTGGCGTTCCCTGCCCCTCTGCCATTCCCTCATCTGAGTTAGTTCGGTTGCCGTACTCTATTCTTTTCGGGAATTTTCGTAGTCTCGTTACGTGACGCAACGGTGCGTCTGGCGCCCAGTCGGTGACTTTCGGTATCGCGTCCCGGGGGAATAGAGCATTATATTTGTGGCGTAAAACGCGTCGGGATAGCTGCGTCTCGGCGAGTAGACTTTGGGGTTAGATTATGCTTTAGTCTCAGTTTTATAGCACTGGCGAATAAGTTGAAGTATAAAAATTGCGTCACAGTATATATGGAATTAACTAATTTGGCAGTGATCCAATATTTTTCTGCACAGTGCGAATGTTCATTAGTCCATTAGAGGTTGGCTTGTTAATTCCTTTACAATCTGCTTTCATAGGAGCCAGTGCGTTTTACAGTCGACTTTACGTAATCCCAGCGTGGTCTGGAATTAGCGTTATTAAGGGTGGGTTTTTAGTAAATTTCGACAGGTAAAAGAGAGACAAACATTAATCGGATGAGAGTACCACGAAAGCTTGTAATTTTACGAACCGCATGCAGGCGTAAGAATTATTGGCGTTAAAGAGCGAGTATCGAGCAAAAAAAGATATACAGGAACATTTGTACGCTTCGTCTTGTTGAATTGCACGAGTTCATGGCTAAGAGATAGCTAAGTAAGTAGTTAGTTCCAGTGTTTCTGTTGTATGTCAGACAGAGTGGTACAATCCACTGGTACCGTTCTACGTACAGGTTTTAGATCAGCGCCTCCGTTCGCTGCGAACGGAAGTGAAAGAAAAAGAAAATAAGCGGAAGTGGCTCTGGTGTAATGCGGATCTATTGAAATAATATTGCCTTTAGTTTGCGGCTTCGAGTAAAACGCGAAGGTTTAAAATGACGATTGGAAAGAAAATGGCGAATCGTGTTTTCAGAATTCTATCTTCTTTTTTTTCCGACTACTTTAGCTTTTACCACTCGAGCGTTTTCGAAGTCTGATCTTTATCTGCTACTACTACTTAAAATCCAAGAAGCACTTAAAGTCCACGCTATTTCTCATGGGTCGATTATTTTTTTGACTTTAATTCCTTTTCTTTCTTTTATCTCACTTGGATCTTGTAAATTTCATTTGTCCTTCCACGGGCCATCCCTGCCCTAGATTTAATTCATCACGTGAGTCAAACTCTAGAAAGCTCTTTTGTACCTAACGGTACCTATACAGTATCCGCCATTCGATTCGATTATACGTCTCACGTATCTTTCCTGCCATTTCTCAGCGTATAGAGGTTCCTTGGGGAACTACAAGTTTTTTTCTTCTTTTTTTCTTCATCTCTTTTTCTCTTTCGCGTAAAATAATACCAAAAGCATCCCGATAGAGTGTTTCTTATCCGTTCGAATCTACCCCGCTGGAAGTAGACAGCGATAACTGTGTATAATCTGGATTCTGCTCAATGCCGATCGTGACGTCACTACGTACTGCAACATTGCCATCTAGGAGCTGGTCGTCGATGGGTGAACACGCAACGAAAATACCATCTAACCTAAATAAATTGCGACACGCAAAGAAAATGTTACTGTGGTATATGAAGGTTTTCGAAAAATATTCTTGAATTAATATCCTAGAGTAACGAAACTGACCACTAGCTAACTAATACTACTTGTTACTATATATATATATTTTTCACGTGTTTCGTCGGTCGTCTGACCATTACGACCTGTATCTACTGTCGATTTAACTACCGTTACTATTGATTTTTCGTTCACTTGGACTTCTCTCCTCAATGCAAACACCATTTGCTTTCTCTGTTTGCCAGGCAATGCTTAACGACACTTAAGTACGACGGCCATTCTTTGCCGATAATGCTTTCGCACCCTTCGTCACTTTTTTCCTTCCCGTTTCCTCAATATATAAGGTTTTCTATTGAACAAAATTTGTTTCGTTGTATCGACAGTCCGCTTCGATCGTTCGAGGGACCCTTGCGGAATTTGTCATTTTACGAAGAGACGAATAAAATCTTTTTTCTATCAAGTGCTAACGTTGGCGATACTGGGTACACTGGTGTTCTTAGAGATATATGATAAATTTTCAATAATTTATACTAAACTGTAATAAAATTAAAAAAAATAACGCGCGAAGCACTAGCGATGTTCATAGCATCCCATAGAATTCTCCGGGCGTATCTTTTGTCGATAATCTTTTTTTTTTCATCGACCGCCTTGAATTCTGTCGTCACCCTCGGCGTTTGGGGCTCGACGACTTTTCGAAGAAGCCTTAAGGTTTCGACGTTTGGATTCTTTATTATCGGCAGAAGGCGATATTCACGTGAGATACCATTAAGTTTTATTGGTTTATTCGGATAATAAATAGAATAAGTAAAATAAATCCCAAAAGATCTCTCTCTCTATATACACAATATCTGGCTATGTATTCCTATGACTACTACTCTGGATATACCCCCACACGTGATTCATGGTATCCAATAGATAACATCTATGGAGGATGCGTCTCCACGAAAAGGTATACCCTATTCAAGTAAGTAGATAAGTCCTGAGGGAATTCGTGATACGGCACACTCTGCGGACCTGCTTTGCTAGAATTTATATATACCTCTACGACTATATACAGAGTAGCAGGGTGGTACTACAAAGCGAACCTAAGCAAAAACGATACGAATACGAATGGCGCGTCTAGTCGACCGATAAATTATTCGTAGCTTACACGACCTTCCCTTTCGAATAGGATAGAAGGTCAGGTTAGGTGTATCCCTCTCCGGGTGAAGGTGCCAATAGCCGGGCAATTCTCTTTTCAGTTGCGCGGAAACCGCTTCCAGGGAAATCTATGGAGTAAAACGTGACCCGCGTTTCTATGCAATTTCGTAAAGTTATATTTACATAATTTAATCTATAGTATGTAAATTATATAAATTTATTATTTATATACACTACGTAGCATACGTACGGCAGCGAAGGTACGTATCTACTAAACAGACTAAGATTCGATTGGTACAAGATATGCTAGGAGGGGTTGGAGGGTGTCAGGATGTCATTGAAAAGGGTGTGAAGAAGTAGAAGAAAAGAGTAGAGTGGAAAAGTTCTTTTTTTTTATTCCTTGCGTATTCACCGAGTGACTTCATCTTCCTTGTT